TTACTGCTCCCGACTTTCACTCACCACTTAACGCACTTAACGCCATAAACACCCAGATAGTCCATGGCCTTAACCAAAACCGACCCTGCGCGCCAACTGCCCTGGTAGCACTGGACTTGTCAAAAACTTTTGACACAGTCAATCATCCAATGCTACTAACGGACATTGAGGAATCCTCATTACTGCCGGGGTTGCAGAAGTGGGTCATGAGCTACCTGAGTGGTAGACAATCATCGGTAATATTCCGAGGTGTAACATCTAAACCCAGGAAAATTAAACAGGGGTTCCGCAGGGTGGTGTCCTCTCCCCGATACTGTTTAATTTCTACAACTCGAAACTCCCTCCACCACCAGAAGGAGTTTCCCTAACCTCTTATGCCGATTATTGTACGATAATGGCGTCTGGCCAGCATGGTCCATTCCCTGTGAGTCTCAAGGCCTGAGCAGGTCTTAAGGTGACTAAAACAATTGCACTGGTTGCATCTAAGTGGAGGAATGGTGGAGTCTTCTGTGACACACGCAGCAGAAATAGTCCGTCGGTCCAAGGTTGGCTTCGACACCAGCGCTGATCAGAAGGATTTGGAGCAACCCAGCTGCCAGGTGTTGCTCCATTGGTGAACTTAGACTAATGTTATCTGTTGACCTAAACTGGGTTAGGTCGGCGAAAGGGTGACAGCCCTTGGCAGGATAAAATCCGGGTCAACTCCTGTGCCGGCTGTCGTGAGCGTTGGTCGGCCGGTCGTAAACTATGCTGCACCGATCTGGGCGCAGGTGACGAACGAAACGCAGATGAAGAAGCCATAGGCTTGCCAGAACACCGCCCTCAGGACCGTGACAGGAAACCTCCTAATGTCGCCGGAGCATCACTTGCACTGGGAAGCATCTATGCTACGAGTTAAGGAGCATAATGCTTTGCTGTGCAAGCAGTTCCTATTGGGATGCTACCGCAGGAAACACCCCACTAGGCACCTAATATAAGCTGAACCTCCATCTACGCACATCAGAGAGGGAGTACTAGACTTAAAGGACACAATCCAGCATCATGTTGTAGCAGGTGAAACTCCTACTTATCCAGACTAGACCCCAGCATACCCAACGTATGCCCTGCATGTGGAGAGTCTCCGCACGACACTAACCACCTCTTCACATGCCCTCTCAAACCAACTCATCTAACCCCCCTCTCCCTCTGGTCCAACCCCATCGAAACAGCTCGTTTCCTGGGCCTACCTTTAGATGACCTCGGCGATTTAGACTGAACAAACATGTGCCTAAGCGGGGTTAGCGTTGTTGTTGTTATGCAAGATCAAAGCCATAAATCATGGGAACGTCGCGTATTCATAGCTATATGAGACGGCGTCAATCCTTGGTAGATCCTCTTATAAAACGAACATTATAGATGCGGAAAGAGCACCAGAAAGGACAATTGTCGGCAGCAAGTCTGAAGACGGTAACTGACGAGCACACCAAGATTGCAGGAGAAGTAACGTGTGAATTCATAATCGGGGATATGATGGCGTTATATTATTTTAAAGTAGCTGAAATTACTGATAGAGTTTTAGTAGATGTGGCCTTCCTCCTTGGTTACGACGCGATTCTAAGAAAGTGCTACTAAATTGTGGGCAAAAAAGGAAATACTCACGAAAATGCAGGAAGACATCTGGATTCCACAAATGGAATCGGTGAGAAGAACAGCGCACTCAGGCGGTGAGCGGCAGCGCGAAAACCCGATATAGCAAGGCTACAAGATCGAAGGCATATCAAGAAGGAGATCTGGTGTTGGTTTCTTACCCTGACCACAGGAGAGAAATATCTCTGAGATTGCAAATCAAATGGAGTTGTCCGTACAACAGCTGAATGACTTGGTGTATCGAAATCTGACCTTTGTGTCTTATTGGGAGAATCAGAGTTACCTGTGTGATAGTGTTCTAAGTAATAGTTCGAAGGACTTATACAGTAATTCGTTTAGTATGGTAAAGCTAATACTGCTTTATTGCGTAGAATATTGTTGCCGAAATGCGAGGCGAATGTCAGATGAAAGAGAGAAGCCGATAACTAGTACATTCTAGAAGCGATAAAACAAGAACCTTCCATAGCGAACAACTCGATGCTTCTACGCTTTCGTCTGCGAGCAACCGACTGCTATATAAGGGCGACACTCACCGGCCAAGTAAGTTAGTTACAAAATGAACGCGTTGGCGTTAACATCAGTAAGGTCGTAAAGTAAACACGTTGGAGATTACATTTAAGTAGAGTAAATTGTGAAGGTTGATGTTAGTGATTGTAAATGGTAAAGTGCATTGTAATTGAATTGTGAATTACGAAGTAAATAAAGGACAT